GACAAGAAAATTCTCATTCATAAGAAGAATTCAAAAAATAAACAAAGAAAGAAAGAAAAGAAAAAAATAGAAATGAAGAAAGAATGAAGGGATTTCAATTTTCAAACCATGCACAGATAAAAAAATAAAAAAAATTCAGACCATGTAGTTGTTTGTAATAGGTATTGTTTGAGCATCCTTGCTGAAAAAAATTGAATTGCAGGCAAATGATGGGTGAGTCTTTGGGCAGTATGAATGCCAAGGAACTCAAAAACCTGGAGACCAAATTAGAAAAAGGAATTAGTAGGATTCGTTCCAAAAAGGTATGCCTTTTTTTCTATGAACAAGTTCTTTCTATAATTTTTGAAAGGATAAATCCGGAATTTTTCTGACTTTTTCCTTCTTCCTTTTTGTTTGTACTACATCCCAAACATCTACGTTAGAACGAGCTGCTATTTGCCGAAATTGAGTACATGCAGAAGAGGGTAAACATTTTCCTTGTATTCATGTTTTTTTGTTTTTGTATGTGTTTGTCTTTGTCACCACATCGGAACTTGATTGGTCCTGAGTCAATGGTTTTGAAAGATCATGAATAATATTTATCATGTGATTGTTTTCTATATGGCTTAACAGATTGCAATTTAATTAAGTGAGTATCTGATTATCTGCGTTGGACTACTTCAATTGTGTTCCCTTCTGTTTGTTTGTCTGTCTCTTTTTAGTCAAGTTTTGAGGTTGCCAAAATTAACCGTTCACGAGATTGTAAGTTTTGAGTTTTATTTCAGAAATTTCAGTCTCATACACTGACCTAGAAATTCGATCAACAAAAATATATTCAATAAAGAATACATTGTACAAATTAAAACCTTGTTCCATAATAAAAGATATTGACTAATATGAATGTGATTGTTTCATTTTTAGACAAATGAAAAAAAAAAAAAAAAAAAAACAAAGGTACTCAAGATGCAAAAAACAAAAAAAAACAAAGGAGAAACAAAACATGATGTGAGAAAAAGTGCCAGGATCCTTTGATACCGGTGTTAAATTAAAAAATTTGACACCAAAGTCTAACTGTTGATTTTCGTCTATCTGGCGGTTATAATTTATCGGATCATACTTATTAGTTAATTAGTAATTCCCAATAAATTATAACCGTTAGATAGACGAAAATCAACGGTTAAGATTTAGTGTCAAATGATCTTGTCCATACGAAAAAATAACAACAAAATTTTTTGATGCGTAAGAACTTAACACAATGTGTAGTTGCAAAGACTACAAAATCCAGAATGTTGTGAATGAAGTTATAGGAAATCATGATTAGAATTGCTGGTATATATAATTGATATGTATAGGAGAAACTTTGAATATGTAAAGAAAATTATTGATGCATTTCTTATTTGCATTTACCTCACTTTTGTAACCTTTTTTGACTCTGAGATAAGTTGTATTGTTCAACAAAAAGTAATGTCTGTCTGTCTCATTTGCATTTATCTCGCATTTGTCATCTCTTCTGTCTTCCACTCATCTGTACACTGTTGGAAATTTGAACTTGATATATTTGTTTAATTAATTATTTATTTATCTATTGATACATTGATGTATTTGTAACAAGTTCAAATATTTAACTCTTCTTATACTTAATTAATACATTATTTTGAACTATGTTCATAATTAGATGTGTTAAGGGCCTAAGGGGTACCTTGTGACCTATGAATAGCTAGCTTTATACTTATGCTCTCGGAAGTGAACCTAAAAAATCAAATGAAGAGAATTTCTTAGTGAGTTTGAGTGTATTCCTTCTGGTTTTTTACTGCTAGTACGTCATCTGAAAAGATTTGCTTATTCTAATTGCAAACTATCCAAAAATAGTACTATTCGTTTCAGCCTTGAAAACACATAGTATATATACCTTTTTCAATTTTGGCACTCAAAGAGTAAACAATGAATTTTTGTTTTATTGCTTGAGTTTGAGGAAGTGTGTATGTTTGTAGCATGGTATAGCCGTACGATGGAGTTAGAAAATAATAATTTATTTACAAACTCAAGTATAACACCATAATCCAAGTTGATATGTTTGAGTCCTAGATCCTAGGTAGTTGGAAGGGAAGAGATCAAAAGAGAATGAAAGAATTGATTTAATAATAAGACGAAAAAGATTTTTTATTGTTTCCTCCAAACACCTCAAAATTTGGAGAATCAAACTGGAATTAGAGGGTTTTGGGGCATAGGTTTAACCCCTTGATTTTAAAATAAAAACACTTATTTTGCTACTACCTATTATGGATTTCAAGTTATCATAACTAAAATGTACATTGCAGGAGATAGACTTGCACAATAATAACCACCTTCTTCGAGCAAAGGTCTGTCTCTATCTCTTTCTGTCCTTTCTTCACATGCTATCTTTGTGCAATATTGTTTATATTATGACTACTTAATGGCTATGCTTTGTTGATGGGGTGTAGATAGCTGAAAGTGAGAGGAGCCACCATAACATGAACGTGTTGCCTGGAGGCACAAACTATGACTCTATGCAGTCTCAGCAGCAATTTGACTCTCGTGGCTACTTCCAAGTGACTGGATTACAACCCAATAATCAGTATGCACGGCAAGACCAGATGTCCCTTCAATTAGTGTAAGAATCTCCCTTACCAGGATTGACATTTATACTACAAATTGACATTCATAGAAACATAAATTGAAGAAAGTAAAATTAGGGGATTTGAGCCTTTAGAATTAAATGATATGAGAAAGAAATTATTAGGGTTTATACAATGAAAGCAATCACAGAATAATATGACTAATTAATTTCTCTTTCTTAGCTTAAATATGATATTGAAGAATAACTGATATATATATATATATATATATATATATATATATATATATATATATATATTCATGCCATATTTATGTTTCTTGGAGCTCATAATTTGGCAAGATTATTTATGTACATATGTTTATGTTCCACGTCTACCTACTGACTTGAAATCATGGATACTTGACTCACTGTGTATCTACGGAGTAAACAAACACCTAATCTAACTAGTGCTTTTTTCTTGTACTCTTATGCAGTTGATGTGTTTGCGCTTGAGAAGAATTAAGACTTAAGAATTTCTGCTACTTGTATTTTGCCATCTAGTATGATAGCAGATGAATGCTAAGGGTAATATAAGCAGAACTATGTGGAGGGGATTTTAAGTATTTCCTCATCAGTACTATGTAGTGGCTTTGTAGACTTCGGTAAGACCATATCCTGTATCTATTGTGAAACGTTCCCTGATATGTTTAGTATGTGCCTTAAGAGTATGGGGAAGACCTCTTGACATGTTTGTCAACCAGCTTTGTTTACTTTCCATAATATAGGCTTGCAGATCTATTCAAGAATTTTATTTCTTAACCAAATAACTATATAACCAAATAACAATAATATATATGCAAAAACAGCTCTGAATTCACAATTAAAACCCACTATTTTATACTTGCTATTTGCTACTTTTCTCCAGTCTGATTAAGCATAAAATCTGCATATGCATGGGCACCTAACTTTAAACTTATGGTCATGTTCTTTAAATTCTGCGGAAATTTTTGGCATAAATCTGCTATTGCAACACACACATACTACCCTATATTTGACATTGTAAGTTTGAAAGGACTCTCCTGACCAATGAATTGACCTGTGAAAGGAAAAGTATCATAACTAGTTCAGACTTGTGAGGTCGTCATGAATGGGTGATAAACCAAAAGGGATCTTAAAGATAGAAAAGGTCTTCTATATTCTGAAACTACAATTGGTTTCTCTATACTCACAATTACAACTGCGGTAAGGTTTTGCTGACCGTTAATATAAAGTTAGAAAATTCGCTTAATATATTTCCGCATATCTAACATAATATCTTATCTGGGCCAAATAAACGTGGGCATATCATTTGACATATCTTGTCCCTCAATTTTGTGTATATATGCTTGCAGAAGAGAAATGTTAACACACACATATATATATATAGACACATACACACACACATACAGACCTCACATACCACCAATCACTACCCCTTCCTTTTCTTTTTCTTTCATTTTTCCCCTTGCCATGAACGGCTCCTAAACACTCACAGCATGTTTGAGTATGAATTTGTCTAACCTAAACTCCATTTTTGGAGCTGCAATCGGGACTTAGCCCATTTTACATCTTGTTTGGTTACGTTTGAAAATTCCACCATGAATTAGGACTGAAACTGGGGTTCAAGCATAAGTGAAAAATCCAAACTTCTATTTCTATTTTGTCCTGAAAGATTTAAAATTCCAAGATCAGGTATATCATTATAAAATGGGTTTGATGCATGTTTATCTTTTTAAAAGACATAAATTTTATCATTTTAAAAGAGAGATATACACAAGAAATGAAAATTATGGGGCATAAAGTGGGTGGATTCGTTTTGGTAATTACACATTTAAAATTTACTTTGATCAAAACTATCAAAATAACATTATTTTGTCCATTTTTAAAATAAATGTATTCAAACATAAATCATTTCACTTCAAACCAACTTTTAACTAAAATCAATTTTGCACAACCAAGAATATCTAAAACAAAGTTTGGAAATGTTAACCCAAACACATGCACAGTATCATTTCTATTTTAAAATGCTTGTGAAAGTTGTTTCTCCAATGACACAATATATAGCCAAATTAAGTATTATTAAACTCAGACTACCCAAAAAAAAAAAAAAAAAAAGTATTATTAAACTAAATGGTTCGCATTTTTGTATTTGAATATAATTCTATTACAATTAAAACTACTCTACGCCTAAGATTTCTGTTATAATAAAGATGCCTAGCTACAACTTAAGTTGAGAGATAGAGGCACAAGAGATCCTACAACCCGAAACTAATCAGTCAAATTAAGTCCCTTGCCTGGGATACTTAATTTAGGACTTGACTAGACTGCATAACTGCATAAACTTTTGTATTGATACATTAGCTACTGATGTTGATGGAAGAGATTAATTTCCATCTTCTTCAATTTATAACTTCACTAGAGTCTGGATATCCATTGGGTGAGTGTAGGAGGGAGTGGAAGCACGATAAGTTCTTTTGGCGACTACTTTGTTAATGATTTCAGTGGGATGAAATGAATCCCAAAATGCATACAATTTTCTGTCCTTGCACGGTGTCCTGTTAGGAATACATTGTCCATTATCCCCAACTTGGCAGCATCCGGTACTAATATTCTTCAAACCTGAAATCCATATATATTTACACCAATCAAAGTTCATATTAGTTTATTTCTAAATACAAAATATTATTACATATAAAATATTTATGTATTTTCACCAACTAGAATATTTATTAGTTGGAGATTATTAGTTATTATACCATAATCTTTATATAACTATATAAATCTAAAGCTCAACTCTTGTGCTCTACACTAGAAAGGACGTGTTAGATATAACATTATGTGTGTACTTTCAGTCATTAAGATAATCTTTTGAGATTATTTTTTCATGATAAAAATGAGTGAAATGTTATCATCTTATTTATTTAAATAATATTTCACATTTCGAAATTATTTTTTTATTTGAAAACATCCAACACAAAAAACTGAAGACATTCTTTCGGTCGAGATTTTAATTCTTAACAAAACTAAGAACGTGATTACATTGAATGGTAGAAATAATTATTTTGAAAAAAAAAATTAAAAAAATCATATATTGACAAGTGTATGAAATGAGCCATAGGAAGAAAGAAATAGGTTTACCAGCTAACTCGGTGCTGTTGGTTGCGATCAAAGCATTATTCACGTAGATAAATTTAGAGTCAGATAACTCATTGTTGAATTGATCAACTAGTGATTTAAGCAGGTCATTAAAAATGAGCACTGCTTCATTCTCCTCGTCAACACATCCAGATGGTCCTTTTTTCTCATGAGTAGCAATTTCATGTGGAGCGCAACCTACAAAGCCCAACCCAATCAATGCAAATTTTCTTGCTCCTGTTTGATGCAAAGCCTGCCAACAAAAAACACAAATTGGCACTCCAATACTCCATGATTAATAAAGTACAAGATAGTGGACTGGGAAGCATGTGAATTAAGAATCTTTTGAACATATATACATCATAAAATTAAAGAAATTGTAATTGTAATGGATACCTTTATTTGCTGAGAATATTGTTGAATAAGAGCCTTGGCATATTGCTCTAGGTTATAAGTGCGGCTTGTTGGGTAATGTTGGGGCACGAAGTAGTTGTTCATGTAGTCATTGCTACCAATATTCATATAATACAAGCACTTATTTAGGTGTTGTTGCGCTTTGTCAACTCCTCCAAGTCTATTAGAGATTTGCGAAACTATGGTTCTGTGATGAGTTAATTGTAACTCCAAGCTTATATCAGTACCCTGCATGCAACATAACCATTATTTGATCAGAATCCCAATTTAAAATCTTGCAAAATTTATTAACTCTATATAACAAACAAATTTATGATAAAGTGAGTTGTTATTGTTAAACTAGAGAGAATATAGTAATTAATATCTACCAGATGCGTGCCAGTTTCATGGCGAATTCCTGCTGATCCTGATGCATAGTTCACGCCTTGAAGAGTGTCTGAACCGCTAGTATTTGCAAAAGGTGGGATAAAATTCTTGAACCCCAAACGTTGAGCTGCGTTGACAAAACATTAACAAAAAGTTAGAAAAGAAAAAAGAATAAAAAAACCTGAAAAATGACAAAATCAAAGTAAAATATTTTATATTTATTTACCTATAGATTTAGTAATATAATCTTATATGCTTAAGAATATTGCATATATATTTAGGATTCTATTAATCTCATGTTGTTGTAGAGAAATTATTTGTAGCTGACACATGTTTTTTAGGACACTATTCCGTATCCTGAAAAATATGTATGTGTCTGCTGCACGAAACATTATTTATGAAGAAACATTTTTCCCATATGTATATATAGGGGAAGGATATTGTGACAACCAAGTTGTGTTACTACCAAGTGACTACCAATTAATCTCACCGTTAGATCGATTATGTTGATCCAACGATTATATTTATTTCCATCTTTGTATGGTCATGGTTTCGCAAATTTAATACTTTATATTTATTTCCATCTTTGTATGGTTATGATTTCCCATATTTAATGTTTTCACTTTAAATTTAGGAAACCATGACCATACAAAGATGGAAATAAATATAACCGTTGGATCCATATAATCGATCTAACAGTGAGATTAATTGGTAGTCACTTGATAGTAACACAACTTGGTTGTCACAATATCCTTCCCCGTTTATATATTACATCCCTTTTTCCTAATGTAATTTGGAAGCTGGAATCTTCCAATGAAAGAGAGAGGTTTTGAGGTTTATAAGCAAATTAATATTACTAAGTATGTCAACTGCGGTTCGGCCATTGGTAAATCTTCCGGTTGCTCCTCCTGGGAAATCGATTCCATAAGGTGAGTAGTTAACTTTGGCATCAGTTGGTAGATTGTTGTTATTTCCACTATCAGATAAAGAGTCCCCAAAAATGAAAAGGCAAGGCACTTTAGGATTCATAACACCGCGAACACCAAGTTGCATGTGTAATATTGCAACTGAGAAAAGAGCAACAATCAACCATAATTTTTTTTCACGAGCCATCTCCAAGCAACGATTCAGATAAGCAAAAGAGCAATTACGATTCATATCCTAATTAAGGTACCAAGGTTTCATATATATATAGGTAATTGGTTACAAGTTTTGAGGCCAAATACGAAGAATCGTTTTTTATTTCTTTTGTTATAGTCCGTGTCCTCATATTGATTGCAACCACTGAATCTTATCCATATACTATTCTACGAAAGGTGGAAACTTACTTAACAATGGAAGCTTAACTAGAACATCGACTTACCGCACGATATATTGAGAGAGAGAGAGAGAGAGAATAGTACTAGTTTTGGAAAGAACGTGACAATCTTTGATTATCACACACCCAAATAAAGTATGAGTTTTATTAATCTTATATTAGAGGAAATAAGTTATTTCATGTCATAGAGATAAATTTTTAAGTTTCATCATCTGAAAAAAATAAAAAATAAAAGAAAAGATAAAAATAAACTTGTGAGCTTCACCACCTGAAAAAAAAAGAAAAAGAAAAAAGTAACACAATTATCGAAGAATGTGTAGGAGGAAAAACTTATCTCATGATGTAACATGATAATAATTTTTCCCATAAAATATTGTTATAATGGAGGTATTGTAAGACCTCTTGAAGTATAAAGGGAAACCCATTTTATTTGGGTTTAGATTTTTTTAGGAGATGATTTTATCTCTTACATATACATTAAAAGTGTATGAGATTCATATTTTTCTTTTCCCTCTTTTCTCTTCACATGGTCTCACATGAACCTCATATACTTTTATGTATGTATAGGAAATAAAATTATCTCCTACAATATAAAAAACCATTCATCCCATTTTATTTAGGAAAATCATTGTCTCATTCTACATGAAATAACTATCTCATGTTGTTCTCACGTCAAAAGTTGTGCTATCATTTTTTTTATTTTTTTTAATAAGTGGTGGGCTCTACCACATCATGTGTCTATAATAGGAGATAACTATCTCCTACAACATGAGAAAATATAATCTTTTTTATTGATGGCATTTTGTAACTGGTGTACTTATTCGAACCATTGGGCCTGGTAATCCCATTCCTTTGATCAATCCATCAATTGCCACATTAGAACCACTGTAGCCCATAGCCCCATACTCCTGCTTGACACATGTTGGGCTTTGTTTAACCTTTATTCTTCTCCGAATGCAATTTTACTTATGAACCTAATATGATCTGCCGAAAATATGAGATACGGTTTACGGGTTTCTGATTTTTTTATTTTTTATTTTTCTCACTGTAACTTTAACCATCCTTTCTTATAGGTGTGATTCAAATTATATTAATGTGATAAACGCATTGACTTATATTTGCTAATCGAGGTAAAACATAGTAATTAAATTATTCTAAGAAATACGCAAAGTTGACGATCACAATACGGGTGATTTTGACATTATACCCTTGACATTTTATGGCAAATGCTATTTTCAACGAAGAAAAGAGGATAAAGAGAACTACAAAAGGTTACTAAGGAGTTCAGAGATAAAATTAATTTAAAATCCAAATAATTAGGATGTAATGATTTTGATTTTACATTCCATAATTGCAATTGTATCTACATTATTATTATTTTTACTTCAAAAGCAATTTGAATCGGCTGCGAACCATAGTTTCAATACGACACAAAAGTATAACATTAATCAACTAACTCAATATTGGTATTTGTATAAATACAGCGCATACACTCTGAAGTTGATAAACTAACTTATCCATTACAAATTGGATCAAATTTGAAGCAGGATATATATAACCACAATTACTGATCGCTTGATTTATTCCACTTTGACGTTCAGGTCGTTACTTAATACGTATTCAACTCATAACTTATTGAGCTCCATATGAAATTCTACATGATAACTTCAAATCATTGAGATGCACTAAGATGTGCTGTGAACTCATTTATGATCTCAAATTCCATGTTAATTTCTTGGTCAACAAGGTGCTTGATATCCATTGGATAAGTGAAGGATGGATTAGAAGTATCATAAGATGTTATTGCTGTGAGTAGGTTGAAAGCGTCAGTGGGATGAAATTCATCCCAAAACAAGTACTCACTCCTATTATAGCATGGCCTTTGATCAGGAATACACTCTCCATGCAACCCCGATGAACAGCAAGCAGCATTTGTAACTGAAAAGCCTGAGATCCACGAACCATGCATGGTTATATATATATATATATATCATATGCATCTCAAGCAAGCAAAGACAATTGTTTTTTCAATCTAAAGATGTGGATTGAAGTATAAGAAAATAAAAAAAAATTACCAATTGAATTCTCAGTGGCCTGGGATGTACTGTTTATAAAGATGAATTTGGAATTAGCAGAGAACTTGTTATTGAAAATATCCACCAGAGATTTAAGCTTGTCATTAAAAAGGAATGCAGCAGCATTCTCCTCTGCAACACATGATCCATTTGTCCCATGAGTATAGATTTCATTTAGAGTGCAACCTATAAAGCCCAACCCAACCAACACATACTTTCTTGCGCCAGCATTGTGTAGAGCCTGCCCACAAAAAAAATAAAAATAAATTGTTCTATTAAACCCATCATATTATAAATCATGTAACTTCCATTGATATGCTACTATTATTATCCTAATCATATTGTGAGACAAAGTGAAACACACAGAAAATTTCATTGGATACCAGTAAATCCAGAGATAACTCTTCAATCAGAGCTTCTGCATACTGCTCAGGGGTATAAATGCTGCTTGTTGGGTAGAACTGGGGAAGGAAATAATTGTTTATGTAATCATTGCTGCCTATGTTTACATAATACAAGCACTTGTGAAGGTATTCTTCAGCTTTGTCTGGACTTCCAAGTCTGGTTGCAATTTGAGAAACTATGACTCTGTGATTTCTTAACTGTAAACCCAAGCTGATCTCAGCACCCTGCGTTTCATAGGGCTAATTTAGTATCATGCATGCATGAGCATTGCAAATTTTCAACACAAATCCTCTAGCCATCTACCAAAAATCAACTGAAGATCAAGATGAACAAGTGAAGAAAGAAAAAGGGTCTTTGATTTATACCAGATTCGCCCCGGACTCGGCACGAATTCCAGCTGCACCAGATGCATAGTTCACACCTTTGAGTATGTCCGAACCACTAGTGTTTGCAAAGGGTGGGATGAACTTCTCAAATCCTAGAAATTGAGCTGAACAAAAAATTTAGAGTAAGAGAAATGACACTTGGTTCAAAAAAATATAGCTTTTATTCTTTCAAAACTATTACAAAATTGGTGAGTTAACAGAAGATATAGTTTACCCCAACTTAAAAATTTGACCCCCCAAAACGAGAGTTGAATTTAAAATTTTGAATTGCAGTACTGAATGCCTAATCTTAAAGAGAAAAAGAAAAATTAGAGGTCATAATAAGAGTAAAGAAATGTTACTAATTATGTCAATTGTAGTTCGGCCATTGGTAAATCTTCCCGTTGGGCCTATTGGGAAATCGATCCCATATGGATTGTAATTAGATTTTGCAGAAGTTGGAAGGTTATTGTTGTTTCCACTATCAGACAGAGAGTCACCAAATATAAAAAGGCATGGCACTTGGGGTTCTCCTTGGACACAATATTGCATGTAGTTTGCAGCCAAGAAAAGAAGAGGAATAACCAACCATGTCTTGGTCTCACAAGTCATTTCTAGGCAGAGAAACTAATGAGGCAAAAGAGGTTGGGTTATGATCCAACAAGTAAGGAGTGTGACATGATCAAGATGAAAGGTGTGTATATATGTAGGGTGGGAGGTACCAAGTGTCGTGGCCTCAATTAAATAAGTTATTGACACTAAAATGCAATGCTTATCATAATACATGAAAATTGATGGTATATTTCATTTGTTAAATATAAAACATGTGGCTAAGATATTTTCAGTACTTAATCAGATGAAATATTAACATTTACTTTGCTTAGGACGTTAAAAAAGTAGATACCTCAAATCATGCCCGGTATGTAACTACAAGTCAACAAATGTCGTATAAGCAAATAAATAGAATCAAAAAGTATCATTTGTCATTTATATAAAAACACGCCAGACAACATGGTTTAAACCGTATATACCCTCCATCTCTTTCTCCCCATCACACCACAAGACTATAAGCTAATTTCAATTTGAATGAACCACTTAAGAGTTAAAAATAAGCAAGGATACTCACCAACCAAAGTGAGTCACGGGTTCTTCTTAACAATATCTATCAACTGATCACCATAACCTCATGCCATTAACTTCACTGACCTACCAATTCAACCTCAAACCACCATTTCCATGAAAACTGATATGGACGACCGTGGCAGCGAGAAGTAGAAGAAGTTTGTAAAGACGCTCCTCTCAAGAAACCTTATCCACATGTTGATGTGGCTGTTCCTTATACACATACATAAGGATTACCATTGCCCCAGTACTTATTTAATCACTCTGTACTTATTTATAACTCTTGTGATTGAACACATCATAACTAACACTAATTAGTATCCTTCAATGTTTCACCGAGACAAGACAGGGGAGAAGATATGACATACCCATAAGTTAATTTTAAAAAATGTACCCACACCCGTTGGCACATATAGAAGGAATAAGTGAGTTCGAGTTCGAGTACTGAGTATGAAAAAAACGAATTGGGTAAAGCTATTCCGAAAGGATCCGACAATGTTCGGATGGGATTAGTCTCACCCCAAAAGGGAGTGAGGATACCCCTGAGATTACTTAAAAAAAAAAAAATTAAAAATGTTAGTTTTTGACAGACACATTTTGATATTAAATAATATTTTTAATATATATAATATAATTTATATTTAATACATATAATAACTCATAATAAATTATATAATCAATCAAATATTCAAATTCTATAACATAAATATAAAGCAAAAATAATTTTCTGTATCTTGTTAATTTTTCATGTCAAATACTATAATAGAAAAAAATTAATTTATAAATTATTTGTTTATATTTAGTTGATAAAATAAAATTTAGATCTTAAAAAAAAGTGTCGAATGCGGGTCGAAAAAAATTAACCGCATATCAAAATTGCATGTCAAAATATTGATCGCGTTTCCCAAAATTTTAATTGCGTGTTAAAAGCGTATCAGAATATTCGAAACTTGTTAGTGTCCGAAATGCATTTTTCAAAAAAAAAAAAAAAAAATAGGTGTCCCTGCTTTCTTGGTATATACTTAATACTCCCTAGTGTCTTCTACCATCAAACAAACGTATGACCCATGAGAGTAAACTTGTGCTCAATTAAATTTAAGAATACCTCAAATTTTGCGATTCTTCATCCTTTTTTGTGGCACAATGATTGTCATCTGAGAAAAAAAGTTATTGTTTGGTTTTTTAATTATGTAAATTTTATTAAATTAATATTTTTAATTGAAAATTAGTATAATATAATCTTAATAATATAAACTTAATGATAATTTATATTTTTGAAGAATTAAATTGATGAGGCTTTATGTTATTAAAGATATAAATTAATGTCAAAAATAATTTTAATGCTAAACTAATGATATTTTATATTATTGAAAGATTAAATTGATAATAAAAATTAAAAAAGGTGAATTTATAATATATATATATATATATATATATATATATATATATATTAAATATGAGAATAGGGTTTACTAATCATATTATTAAAATATTTGATTTAACAATAACAACAATATTTATTATTCAATTATGCATGATTTCAATTTTTTTGAAAAAAAAAAAGGTACAAATAAGAAAAAGAAGAAGGAGACAAAGGAAAAAGGAAAAACAAAAGCCAATAAATGACATTTCATTGTCAAGTTAATGGCAAGAAAAAGGACTGATTCAGTTTGGCAACAGGCCTTTGAACCACCAGGCACCAACATCAATAAGGGGAGACATTGGGAAGCTCTGTGACCCATCCCTGTAATATATACACCCCAATCAGGAAATATTTTTAGTGGTTCAGGTGTTCCCTTTTCTAAAAATAGAAAAAATATTCCATTTAATTTTTTTTATCATATTTTTCTCTCAATTCCTTCTATTTTCTATTTTCAAAAGGGAATATAATGTTCCCGTCGTACCACAAAATCTCTCCCCTAAACATTTCATTATAACGGAATAGATCCTTTTATATTAAAAAAATATATATAACATAATTACATGGAAAATTATAATCATATAAAAGTGAATCATAGAAGATAAAAGAACAGAGAAAAAATATATTAAAATAATTAATTATAAAATTATTATCGTTGATTTATCTTTATATTATTATAATTTTTCATCTAACCAAATCATATTTTTTTAACATAACAATGTCTATTTCCCTATTGTATATATTAGTGCGGACAATGTAGAAAGAAAGACAGAAGTATGAGCAAATCAGAAGGTTTAACAAGGGAGGGGGGGAAACAATATGGTTAAATATTTCACGTGAGTAACATATGGGAAAAATAAAGAAGCACAATCCATAGGTGCTAGTCCCGTAACATTAGTAGCTTAACCCCTTCGTTTTCAAGCTCACAAATTAATCATTAAAACACATTCAGTAAAAAATTAATGGGCAGAGTTTTCATCGATATAAAAAATGTATTCAGTGCCCGCCTCCAAATCCTAAATCTTAAAATTTTTAGTATAAAAAAATAAGTATAATTAATTAAGACATATGTTTTTCATTCATCGAATATTCATGAACGTAATTAATTAATAATCACGCATGTTGAGAATGAAACTGAACGGCTCTTGGAATTTGCAATTTGCAGGGTCATATCTAGTGTTATCAAATCCGGCCGGCCAGGTTAATTCGGATTCTGGTGAACCGGTTCAAGTATGGAACCGGCCATATATTAAATTTGATTAAATTTGATCAAAACCGGTGACCAAAACGGCGGGACATGCATTTTCATAAATAAATAAAAATTAACAATTATTGTCTGAAAAATGTAGAACTCATTTTACAAATTTTTGTAATTTTATTTGTTAGTAATATATTCTTCTACAATGAGCTTAAATTTCAGCTTCCAAAATTGAAGCAATTTGCGGAACAATAAATTAAGAGAATGTGACATATGTCATTTTTTTAATGAAAGGACGTATATCATTTCAATGACATATGAATTTGAAAAATATAAGTTCACAACATATGATCTTTTGGATATTATTAAGAGATATGTTTGTAGAGATTTTGAGTTCACTCTAAATTAACATAATAATAGCATGCATTTTTATTTATTTATGTTTATTTTATGCAATTTATTGGTTAATTATAATGAACTTGTGAAAATATGAATGAATAATTTTTGGACTTATTTAATATATATATATATATATGGGTTCGCTTTTTCTGCAGTTACTGTCGATAAGTTATCTGCAGTAAGCTAATACGACGTCGTTTTGGGACGGAAATCATGGTGTTTTTGTAATTTTAATTTAATTTAGGGTTATAATAGTCTTTATATTTATAATTTTTAAGATTTCAATACTAAAACGACGTCGTTTTGGGAATAAATGCAGATAACTTCTCTGCATTAACTGCGGAAACATTTTTCCCTATATATATATGAAAAAATATTTCTACAGCTACCATTTATAACTATGTTCTCTCGGGAGAACATAGTTATAACATTAAAGTTACTTTTTTTTCTCTCTCGACGTCAACAAACAAGTTCTGAAAAGTAACTGAGGAGAGAGAAAAAAAAACAACTTTAATGTTATAACTATGTTTTCCCGGGAGAACATAGTTATAAATGGTAGTTGTAGATAATTTTATCTAAAGTGGCTGTAGAAATATTAACTCTATATATATATATATAGGGAAAAGTGTTTGTCATTTTAAATGACAGAAAGTTATGTCATTTTAAGAGAGATACAGACACAGAAAATTTGAATTTTAAATTAAAAAAAAATCACTCACTTTATCTCTCTCATGATTTCCGTTTTTCTGTGTCTATCTCTCTCCTAAAATGACATAACTTATGTCATTTAAAATGACAAACACCAAACCTTTATATATATATATATATATATATATAAGAGCATCTAATCTCATGTTGTAGAAAATACTTCTCTCATGTCATAGATTCAACACATGGTGGATCCCATTATATGTTAAAAAATAATAAAAATAAAAATAAAAGAAACATTTATCGATATATCTATAACATAAAATAATTCTCTCCTATTACATAAAAAAATAATTTATATATATATATATATATATAAAATTTTCAACTGGTCCGATCAATACACAGCGATCGGACCAATAACCCAATATTCAATATTCCAATCGAATGGATGTTCGAATCAGATTTAAATTAATAACCCTGATCATATGTCGGAACAATGATTATTTTGTCACGTTTGGACAAAAAAATTACCAGACTGTCACGCTAGCAGTAAATTTTGCCAAAATGCCACGCGGCATATTTCGCTACACTGTGTAGCGAAATATGTTTGCAAGTAATTCGCTACACAGTGTAGCGAAATATGCAACGTCAGAACCAAAAATACCACATGTCAAATTTCTCAAAATTCGCTACATAGGGTAGCGAATTTTGAGAAATTTGACCTGTGCCATTTTTGGTTCTGTGCATTTTGACGTGGGATATTTCGTTACACTATGTAGCAAATTACTTGCAAACTTATTTCGCTACACAGTGTAGCGAAATATGCCGCGTGTCATTTTGGCAAAATTTACTGTTAGCGAGATG